GTTGTGGGACTCGATATCTACGTCCGGCAAGCCGTTCATTGAGCAAAACAATAATGTTTGCAGCCCCGGCGATCAGCCACATGAAGTTGTCGATCAGCACCTCCATGATCTCGATCTCAATCTGGATTCTGATCCCCAAACCTTGCCAAACATTCCATTTACTTCTGACGGAAATGTTGGTCCCACCAAGAAAAGCCATGATGGTGGCGACCATTCACCTGATCCAGCAGAGTCCATGCATCCTGCAGGATGCATGGAGACCAAAGAGTGTTTATTGAGCGATCTCCACTATAATCCCTTGGATACAACGTCCTCATCCGATTGCAACGATTCCAATTCCGATGCAAGCAACGCATCTTCTGTATCTTTTGATTCTTCCTCCACATGGACGTCATCCTCGTCTTCTTGTTGTTCTTCGGTTTGTACTAAAGATACCGAAAATTTTCATTTCCAAAACATACTATCGAATCCTTCCACCAATTCATCCTCCTCATCAACCTCGACATCGGCGCTGTCTGAAGAAGATGCATTTGATGAGGAAGCCACGCCGCCTTTGATGCAGGTGAAGATAAAGTATTTATCGCTGGCCTTGCAAATCCTTAAAATGCTAACGTATCAGGCCAAGATGAACACCAAATTTTCCACCTCATCGTCGGGCTTTTTGCGCAGGATAAAGAAATTTTTGCCGCACATCCCCAAAAACATTTTCAAATCGTTTTCGGAACTTCGAGTGATCCTTACAAACTCCGCTCCAGAGGATTTCCTTTTTTCGTCCTTTTTGATACCCGAGCAGCTGGTATTCGCACGCTCGGCCGAGAATAGCCTTGCACAGGACACGTCTGGCGACAATTACCTTGTGTTTCTAGACTTGGTCCCCATCACTCACAACGAAAATGATTCCGGCTCAGATATTGACAGCGATGAGGATTTTCTCAATGACCCGAACAAGCCATTTTTGGGGACCATCAGCAATATCCCCTTTTCCAAGGAAGACCAAGCCGAAAAAGAAG